ACCATCAAACTTTTGGGAGAAAGTCTTTGTGATTTTAGGTTAGACAAAGATTTCTTAGATGCAACACCAAAAGCATGATCCATAAAAGAAAAAAACTGATAAATTGGACTTCATAAAAATTAAGAACTGCTCTTCAAAAGACAATTTAAGAAAAGTGAAGCCGCAATACTGAAGAAAATATTCACAAAACATATATTTGATAAAGGACTTGTATCCATAATACATAAAGAACTCTCAATAATTAGAAAACAAAAAAATCCAATAAAAAATGGGAGAGAGATTTGAGCAGATACTTCACTTACAAAGATATGTGGGTGGCAAAGAAGCACATAAAGGATGTTTGACCACATTAGTCATTATAGAAACGCAAATTAAAACCATTATACACCGATTAACTGTTTAAAATCGAAAGGCTGATCATATCAAATGTTGGTGAGGTGTGGAGGATCTGGAACTCTCACACGCTGCTGGTGGGAATGTAAAATGGTACAACTATTTTGGGGAACTGTTTGGCAGTTTCTTAAAAAGTTAAACATACATCGACCATATGACCCAGCCATTCCCGTCCTGGGAATTTACCCAATAGAAACGAAAGCATATGTCCATATAAAGACTTGAACATGCATGTTCAACGCAGCTTTATTTGGAATAGTTAAAAACTGGAAACAATCCAAATGTCCATCAACAGGTCAATGGATAAACAAATTGTGGTGTATTCATACAGTGGAATACTATTCAGCAATAAAAAAGGAATGAACTACTATTGATATACGTGACAGCATGGATGAATCTCAAAACAATTATTCTGAGTGAAAGAAGCCAGAGAAAGGAGAGTATATACTGCATGATTCCATTTATATAAACTTTTAGAAAATGCAAACTAATTTATAGTGAGAGAAAGCAGATCTGTGGTTGCCCGGGGATAAGGGGGACAGGAAAGAGGCATTACCAAAGGTTACTGAAAACTTTTTGAGGTGATGGCTATGTTCACCACCTTGATTGTGGCAATGGTTTCATGGGTGTATACATCTGTCAAAACATCAAATTGTACACTTTAAATATGTGCAGTGTATTGTATGTCGGCTAAGCTGTTAAAAACAGAAAATTATAGTGCCTGGTCCATAACACACTGTCTTGGGGAGTTTCAAGATGACAGAGTGACAGGTCAGTCCCACTCAGGCTGGCCTTCTCCTGTGGTTCGTGGTACTGGTGAGGCCAAGGCCCACCCCTCCATCCTCACAGGCTATTTTGCTTCCCACAAGATCTCCCATCTTTGTCTGCTGCTGGAACCTTTGGCCAGTCAATGGTAAGTAGGTCCCACTGGTCCAGAGGAGACTGAGAGAGAAAGTGAACCCACTGGGTGTGACATCCCCCCACCCCGGGTGCAACCTTCTTTTGGGAACTCCTCAAAGCCTACATCCTTTTATGAGCTTCTGACAGCAGTATCCGCAGGGATGGATGGTGGATCCGCTCACTGACCTCTAGACAACTTGGTCCCTTCCTCTTCATCAGACTTTTCACAAACTGCCTTGAATTGTAACTGTTCTGGTGCTTACCCCATCTTCTCTACTAGATTGTACCCTAACACATTTCCTTTTGGCTAGGGCTGTTGGGAAGCTCACAGCCAAGGATGGTGCCCGATTGTAATGATTAACTCATCCTAAGTGCCTAGCCCCAGGTATTTTCCTGCTCCTTTTAGCTGGTTCTTGTTAGTGATTGAAACCAATGGCATAAGTCTGGAACTCATTGCTTCCAGTGGTGGCGTTGTCCTTAATACTCCCATCTCTCCCAGGTTTACTCTCCCTAGATTCTCTGCCTGGTGCCTTAGGAACTTACTCACTTTCTCAAAGTCAGAGGCTCATCTTTAACTTGTGCTTCAGTGAGGACAGCCATTCTGAGCTGGGAATGGTTCCCTAGGGACATCTGGCTGCAGCTGAAATTGCCCATCTCTCATCACTCCTAACAAGGTCCACTTGCTGTAAATTTCAAAATGTCCCAGTAGGACTGTGCTCAGCATGGCTAATGAAGGATTTCAGCCTTTGGCAAAAAAATGGCAGAGTTATTTACCTTTTTTTTGTGTGTGAGGAGGATCAGCCCTGAGCTAACATCCATGCCAATCCTCCTCTTTTTGCTGAGGAAGACCAGCCCTGAGCTAACATCTACTGCCAATCCTCCTCCTTTTCTTTTTCCCTTTTTCTCCCCAAAGCCCCAGCAGATAGTTGTATGTCATAGTTGCACATCACTCTAGTCGCTGTATGTGGGACGCCGCCTCGGCATGGCTGGACAAGCGGTGCGTCGGTGCACGCCTGGGATCCGAACCTGGGCCGCCAGCAGCGGAGTGCGCGCACTTAACCGCCAAGCCACGAGGCCGGCCCCTGGCAGAGTTATTTAAAACCAAACTGTTTCGTTTAAGAGTATTGGTCTTTTAACGAGCTCCCAATGAACCCATAAAAGGGCTTGGAGAATAAAACAAGAGGGCCCCACATAGTCAGAACCCATAAACCAGGACCCCTAGCAGTGGAGACACCCCACCAGTTTTCAGTTTTATGGCCCTCTTTTGTTCTTTCTCCTGCTGTGATCTAAGTACACAAGGATTTTGATGATTAAAAAAACAGGTTAGATCATGCCCTGCTGGTTCTCAAACAGCTTTACCAGATCTCATCCCCAAAATGATGAAGTTTAAATTTTCGGTTTGGCATTTAGGAACCTACAGGATCTAATCCCAACCTCCCTTTTCAATTCCTTGCTCCCTGCTCTCTGTCACACATCCTGGGCTCAGGCTATTCCAGCCAACCCTTGGGAGCTTTGCATTTTTGCTCATCTTGTTCCTTCTGCATGAAAAGTCTTTCCCAGTCCCGTCCCACCACTCCACCCTCCATTCTGTCTACAGAACTCAAATTCCTTCGCTAATGAGGAGAGTAAACTGCATCCCCCTACTGCACGCTGCGAGGCACTTTGTTGCCCTAATTCCGTTGGGCCTGGGACAACAGGTAACTCTGCCTGTGTCTGCAGCAGACCGTCTACAGCCAGAGGGCAGAGCCTGGCTATAGACAGTTGTATCTCCTAGTGTCCAGCCAGAGCCCCAGACGCAGGAGGCCCTTGTAATCGTTGGTTGTGGAGTGCCTAGCATGTTCTTCTTCCTCTTTTTTAAATTCAAGTTTTATTAATTCAAAATATGCCATACATTCACACTCAGAAAGTAAAAAAGAGTGAAAAGTGGTTCTGTTCTCCAGCCACTCAGCTCCCTTCTATGGAAACAACCAACATCATCAGCTGTTTATGAATCCTTCTGGAGATACACAGACGTATATATTCTTCTGCTTTTTTTAAAAAAAATAAATGGGATCGTACTCAGTTTTGCAGCTTGCTTTTTCACTTTGTTATGATCACACACATATTTTTAAAATTTATTTAACCCATTGACTGTTGATAACATTTAGTTTATTTTCATTCTTTTTCAGCCATTATTAAAAACAATGCTGCAATGAATAATCTTGTATATTGGTCACATTCATATGTATGAGTATTTACATAGGAAGAACTTCTAGAAGTGGAATTGCTAGGTCAATGAGTGTGGGCGCTTTTAATCTTGATCAGCTTTGCTTAATTGTTCCCCATAAAGAATGTCCAATTTTACACCCACAAGGAAGGTACTATCGGAGCCTGTGTCCCCACACCTTTGCTAAACAATGTGTTATCAAACTTTGACAAGTTCCATAAAAAGAATTTTTAGATCTCATTTTAAGTGTGTGTGTGTAACAAATTCATGATCATCCCTTGGTTTGAAAATCATCGAAGGTATCAGGGGGTGTTAACAATCTGAAAATTCTAACCCTGTGTTCATAGAAAGTACTTCTTATTTGACTCCAAGCATAATTAAGGAATGGGGGAGAAAAATGTCATGGAAAGCTGCTCTAATAAAGAGATTTTAGTTTTGTGGAGCACTTTACAGTTATTTGTTTTTGCTGGGAAAGATTCACCACGAGCTAACATCTGTTGCCAATCTTCTTCTCTTTTTTTTTCCTCCCCAAAGCCCCAGTACATAGTTGTATATTCTAGTTGTAGGTCCTTCTAGTTCTTCTATGTGAGCTGCCGCCACAGCATGGCTACTGACAGACCAGTGGTGTGGTTCTGCACACAGGACTGAAACCAGGCTGCCAATTTTGGCCAATGGATACATTCCTGTATTTTCAATTTAAAGCATAACCTGTAGGAGACACTAGATGAACACATGCTTTGCAGGTTGATGTTTTGGATAAAATTTTGGGTATCTCTTGATTACTTTAGGAAGATTAGTAGAGAGGTCAGAAAACAGTCTCTGAAATCTGCTTTATAGCTGTGTTGTGAGAATTAAATAGGATGATACTTGTAAAACTTTTGTCAAAGTACCTAACACATAATAATCACTGAATAACTGTAGCTATAATTATTAGTTAATAAACAGTATGTTATACATGGGGATGGCAGATTAAGGGGCTACTTGGGTGATATAATCTGCCCTCTTGGAGGTAAAGGCTCCGTAGTCCGGTAAATTCCTCTCTAGCACTCATTAGCAGTGTGACTTGGGGCGCATCCCCTGGCCTCTCTGGCCTCAATGTTCTCATCTGTAAAGTGAATAAAATCCAAATCTCAAAGTTTGCCCTGAAGCTTAAATGTGTAATACTCCTAAGGGCTCACTACACATTGATTCTCTTCTTTCCTCCCAACCTAATGGCGGAGACATCGAACAGCCCATCATTCAACCCAATAACCCCAGGAAACCAGAGGGGACCAGGGCGACGAGGGCGAGTCACTTATGGCCGGTGCGCCGCGTATCGAAGGCGAATGGGTCGCGGAGCGAGGAGCAGTCGTTCAGCTTCCCCCAGTCACGCCCCACACCCGACTCCGAGACTAGGCCCCCGCGGGGGCCGCAGAAGCCCGGCGATCACCCTGGCAACACCGCCTTCCGGTCCGCTCTGCCCGCCCCACTTCCGGTTCCGGCGTCGCGCGTCATCGCCGGGCGACCGGCAGCGGGTTTCCGGGCGGGGCCGTGCGGGCGGTCCCGGGCGGAGGGCGGGGGTCGCGGGGCCGCAGCTCGGGGTCGGCGCCTGCGGCTGGGCGCGGCGCAGCCATGGAGGGCGGAGGGCGGCCGTCGCTGGGCCAGGTCCTCCTCCTGGGCACCAGCTCCGTGGTCACCGCCGTCCTGTACTCCGTGTACCGGCAGAAGGCCCAGGTCGCCCGGGAGCTCAAGGTCAGTGCTGCAGCCGGCCTGGCCGCCGGCTCGTCTCTGCCCGGGGGCCGGCGAGCCCACGGTTCGCCTTGGGCCGCCCCGCCGTGGGGAAGTATCCGGAAGACGAAGCGGGCTCTGCGGAGAGCTGGGATCAGGATTCGGGTCTCCAGAAAACGACTGCACGGTCCCTTTCCTTCTAAGCCCCTCTCCTTCCTCAGAGTGAATCTTGACGTCATTACTTTATTGGGCAAATGTCTACTGACACCTGCTGTGCTCCAGGCTCCGAGGATACCGCGTGGAAGCCCCTGCCCTCCTGGAGACTCCGTTCTCGTACAGCCAGGCGGACAGGGAGCGAGTAAATCAGATGGTGTGGTAGAGGGATCAGTACTACAGAGCGATGCAGGGAAGAGAGGAAATGCAGTGCTGGAGAAAGGGAGGTTTGCTGTTTTAAATAAGGTGACGTTTGAGCAGAACCCGGGAGGTGAGGGAGGCCATGCAGATGTCTGGGGAAGAGCAGTGCAGAGAGGGAACAGCAAGTGCAGAACCCTAGACTTTACCCATTTACCTCACCCCCCAGCTCCTTGCTTCTACACTCTTCCTTTTTATAGCAGAGTTATTTTTAAAGTAACACTTTTTCTTGCTGCTTTACTTTTTTTTTTTTTTTTTTTTTTGCTGACGAAGATTAGCCCTGATCCAACATCGTTGCCGGTCTTCCTCTGCTTTGTATGTGGGACGATGCCACAACATTGTTTGACCAGTGATGTAGGTCTGCACGGGGGATCTGAACTCACGAACCCAGGCTGCTGAAGCGGAGCGTGCAGAACTTGAACCACTTGGGGCCAGGCCCCCTCTTGCTTCTTTATAGCTTACACAGCACATTTCCATCTTGTTATTTTCTCTTCACAATAATTTTTTGAGATAGATAAAATTACAGTTACCTCCAGATTGTAAGCCAGGAAGTTGACATTCAGAGGAAAGTTCTTACAGCTAGTCAGGTTGGAACTTAAACTTAGATCTTCTGATTCCAAGTGTAGGATTTTTTTCTGATTGACCACATGGCTTTGTTGTGAATGTCTGGCTGGCCCACGAGAGGTGGACCTCTTTAGGTCAGAGACAGAGTCTTATTTATCCTTCTTCGTCCCTTCTGGGTTCTAACTCAGTGCCTGACAAGTGGTAGATGCTCAATAAATTGTGGGTTCATTTTGGCTGAAATTTCACAACACAACAGTTAGGGCTTAATTTGACATTTATTTGAAAGAAGGATTCCTAAACCTGACTAACTTCATCATCATCAGATCTTTTTTTAGTAAGGGCTTAGAAACAGGTGTGTGAGATGCCTGCTGTGAGAGGAGTTTTGGAATCTGGAATGAACCAGGTTACCAAGCAGTTGAATTTGTGGTGTGAATGGCATCTTAGTGAGATTCCAGCTGCCCTGTTGTTTGCCTGATTAAATAACCAAGTTACTCCCGAAGTGATTGGCTATGAGTCTAACTGACATTTCACTTTCTGCTTCTGAAAGTCAGAAATCAAGTTGGCATCAAGTTGGCTGGATGTATGAACTCCCCACGACCCATCTTTGGGTGATCTTAAAAGCTTTGCCAATTAGTTCATAAATGAGGCTGAAATAGCCCCTTCCTGGAAAAAGAGTTGGGACTCCTAATATTTTAGATTCTCTTTTCTTGATCAGATTACAAAACTTCCAGAGCAGAGTTTGTGACTTATCCTTGTGTATCTTTCACAGTGATGGGAATGCATGTTTTTTGCGTACCTGTTATGTGCCAGCCCTTGGGCTGGATTCTTTCACATCTTAAGGTTCATTTAATCCATATGGAAATCCTGTGAGATTGTTTTC